TCTGGTATATCTTATCTTATTTGTTCTATTTAAGTTTGGTCTAGTCTATATGAACTGGTCTGCCCTATTAGATGTATGTTTATGTGCGGTTTTTTTCTTCTATTTGTGTTATACAACTATTGAAATTTGATTTGGTTTGATTTGAGATGAAAAAAACATCTCAATTAAAAGCATTCTAGATACTGTCATATTGTAGTTATATGATAATAAAATAAAAACAATATTATTCAATATAAAGATGAATGAAAAAGTATATATATGATCATCAAAATATTAACGAATATTGTATACGACAAACTTAATGAATCACATCACAAAGAAAACCTGAGATACAGATAGTGGGGCGGATGAATACCTCATAATTGTGAAAATCAAGAGTACTATCATATAGATAATTTTCATATTCATCCTCCATTGTATAAGAAGATTGTAAAAAGTTATAAAAACATTAGTAATGAGTTCCAAATATTTATATAGTAGTTGTTTGATGATAATTAGAAAGTGTAATCCTGGTTGTATTAGGAATTTAAGTGTATTTGGAAGCATGTAACACAAAATTTTGGAAATATAAAAATCTATTTTTTGAAAACATGCGTGTGAATTTGGAAGCAATAAAGTCAAAAAAAAGGCTGATTGTTAAATACGTGGTGCGCCTAGCTACAATTAGATTTTTACACATGCACCGTGTGATTGAATAAGGACAAAATTGTCCAGCTTTGTCAAAAAAATGGTGCGCATAGCCATTTAATAGGCGCGCAGAGCACGAGCGTTTATCTTCACATCCTTTGTTTTAGTCTTATTAATGTCTTTTTCCCATATTTGTAGGGCTTTATAAAACAAAAGCACCAATTAAGCCCAATTGAAAGTATCATGAAGTACGCACCAAATTAGGGGAATTATCACAAGTAAACCTAAGAGTGAAAGTAATATCACTTTTTTTCACTTTTAAAAGTGTTTTCAAAAATAGATCGACTAGAGTTTTCCTTTCACAAATAGATCTTATACAACTCATCGGGACAAATTGAAAAATCAAATCCGTTGGAGACTTTTGTTCCAACAATCACTGCCTTGGCAGCGGAAGATTTGAAAACGTCATAAAAGACCTGGCTATTTTTTTCTTTTCGTCTTCAATTGCATTCCGACACCGAAGTCGGAGGGGACATGCTGCTCCAGGATCAAAACTGTGATGAAAACCAACTGTGAAGGGTTTTAGAATTGCGCTACAAGGCAGTGACGATTCCCTCTGCTTGCGACATCCCTACTGCAATCGTTAGCCACTGCAGCTTGAATAGCACCGACAATACATCACCATCTCCTGCTCCAACGATATTGGCATCATCTCCCAGAATGGTCCGCCTGTTTCAGTGGGATGTCCGCCAGGGAGTTTGCTGGTGCCAAAAGCTAATTCTCCTACTCAAGAAAACTTTGTTTCCTCAGATCCATTGTGGTAACGACCTTTGTTGATACAATTGTTGCTGCATTTTTGGTGTTGTTATTTTCAGCTTGAAACAAACTACTAATACTGTTAGAAGACTTGTGTTCATCCGTAAAAGGAATGACATTTTGAGACGGCATGATGCGCCTTCTCGCTGTGTTGAATAGTCATATACTGGACAAGTGATCACTGGTAGCTAGGACATATCCGCAACCAGAGTGTGTTTACTCTTTGTCTCATGCTGGGAATTGTTTAGTGGTAGCAATTGCTAGAAGACATGTTAACGTCTATGATTTGCGAAATATGTCTCAACCTGAGCAACCGAGGGATCGGAGTCATAACTAAAATACCAGACAAGTTGTGCTCTTAGTTCAGTTGAAGGTTGTGCTGCCATTCAATTTTTTATCTCCGTCGGGCTAGTTAATCCACAAGTATTCAAATGTCATCGAAATTCTGAAGCTAGAAGGGAGGCTGTCTACCCTATAAATGCAATTGCATTTCACCCTATATATGATACTTTTGCAACTAGGGGTTGCAATGGTAATGTTAAAATTTGGGATGCAAACAAGAAGAGATTATATCAGTATTCCAAATACCCTTCCCGCATCGTAGCCTTGTCATTTGGTAGAGATGGAAAACTATTGGTTGTTGCGTCGAGTTATAATTTTGAAGAGGATGATAAAGCTCATGAACTAGATGTCATATTCATCGGGAGTTTGAATGAAGTTGAAGTGAAGCAAAAATCTGAAGTATTGGCAAAAATAGCTATCTTGAGGAGAGCCATAATAGTATCTTGTTACCGTATATTTTTGTGATAAAAATTACTTCATAAAATATTTGATCAAATGTAAGATATAATCATTTTGGAATACTGAGAACACTTTTATATCATCTTTTCTGTAATGCAAATAATTTGGCTAATCAACCATGAATTATTTATGTACACACATACACACACATATTGTTATTTGTTGTTGTATTGTGTTGTTTTTTGTTGTATCATGTTGTTTCTTTTTTGTTTTTTGTTGTATCATGTTGTTTCTTTTTTGTTGCGCTTTGTTTCACATTGTTGTGTTGTTTTTTGTTGTATCATGTTGTTTCTTTTTTGTTGTATCATGTTGTTTCTTTTTTGTTGCGCTTTGTTTCACATTGTTTCATTTTTTTATTTATTATGTTTCTTTTTGTTGACTTTCATAAATAAAAATTTGTGTATTTATGTTTTTATTCATTGACTTTCATATGTACAAATATATGGTTTATCATTATATGTATATATAGTTAGTTTATGCCCAAGTAGCAAAAATAATTGGAAAAATGAAAAGAAAATCCACACAACAAAGAGCAACAATATACAACAAATAGAAACATGATACAAAAAAATGCAACAACATGCAACAAAAAAAGAATAGATACATACATGGGCAAGTGTTAAATGAATACATAGTTTAATTTATAATCATAATCACTATTACAAAGTATACACTGTCATTGTGTATGGTGTTTCTATAAGAATAAGAATCACAAAATTTTGGATGTATCAGAAAAACACTTCCTCTTTAGGAGAATTGATCACCACATCCTTTCCGATTAGATAAAAATATACATCATGTGTGGATGTATACTAAATCAAAAGCTGGCAATGAATTTCCATGAGATCCTGTCAGATCCTGAAGCATTACAATAGCAAGATTCATCAGTTAAACACTTAAACTCTTCACATTTTTTAAATTCAAATGTAGTAGATGACTAGTAAAACGTTGTTCAATAGTTCATGTGAATCTTGAAAGTACAAATGTTTTATGGTGGTCTCAAGTGTAGACACTTTTTATCCCGAAGTACAAATGTTTTATGGTTTTCTCAAGTGTAGACACATTTTGTCCCACAGTACAGCCAACATGAGAAAAATCACCATAGCCAACACCATGAAAAATCCAGGCATGGCCTTGAAGCCAAACAGACCCTAAATTAGAAAATAAAATTACAGCATACCAAGAAGTCTCAATCCAATAAACCAGGACAATCCCCTATGCACAAGTGAAGCAAGATCTAGAGCCCCTCTTACTCTAACAAGTAACAAGTTTTGTGACTTGGCTGCCATCCCATACCAATACCATAGCCAATACTTTAAGGAAACTTTTAACAACAATAAAATAATATATTTTTCCGGGTGCAAGAACAACATATAACCACAGCAGCAGTATTCAGTAAGCCATACGATGATACTCATGCACCCCATATCTTTTCACTTTCTTCAAAATCTCTTTTAAAACCTGCTTCTGCACCGGTACCTTGTTGGTCTGGGATGCCATGTTGTCATGTTGAGAGTCGTATGGTTTACTAGAACCATCTGCTTAAGTGACAAATCCAACAACAAGTGCTAAGAAGGATGAATCTCATGGAGTTTCCCTGAAATCTGATTAAACTATTAACATATTCATCTTAGTCATCACTTAAAGAGTTAGTGAATCGAGAAAGAGGCACTTGAGTTTAACATTCGATTACAACAAAACACTGTTTCACATCCTCACTCCACTATTTAACAATTGAAAACCTAATTAAACATTTGGCCAGTGATACCTTGAAGTGTACAACAACAAATAAATCATAACAAATTGGGACGTGCCTAGTGATACCAGCTAAAATACACTCAAGAGCTCAACTAAAACTGAAAGTAAATTATACGGAGTAACAAAAATAAAGGAGATAGTAAAATAAAGTTGAATCGGAAACCAAAATTCAAGCTTAACCCTATGAATTACAACAAAAATAAAAGTGAAAGCAAAATGCTGAAAATCTCAACCATGTATCTGCAAATCAGAGACTAGTGAGGCAGTCAGGACGCGATTCAGCGAGCAGCGGAGCAGCCAAGTAAGCAGGGCAGAGGTCGGAGTCGCGGAGGCCAGAGGGCGCAACCAGCATAAGGCAGAAGGGGAACAACCACACACATCTCAGACCTTAATTTTCTGATTAAGTGCTTCAGTTTTCGTCGAGACTATGAGGATGGAAGGAGGACGTATGTGCGATACTGTCAGGGATCGACGATATATGGCCTTTGGGTTGGGGCTTTGATTTAGGTTATTTTTGAAATAAAAAAGTAAAATTGAAAAGATGAAAGTTATTATTGAAAAGTAAATCATACGTAGACATGAAAGAAATACATTTAGAAAAAGTGGACCGCACAGGATATTTCCACACCAAATTACTCATTTTCACTTAAAAACTACACATAATTTTCAATGCACATTGTCCTACAACATCTCAGTTAAGAACTTTCAAGTTACTATTTTACAAAAAAAAAATAATATTACTGTTTCACAAAAAAAAATCTCTTTTAGCCGTATCAAATAATAAAGGGAAAATGGTCAGATAGGGCCTCGAAATTACAAAAAAATGTCAAATAAGACCTTATATAGGAGCTTCTGTCCGGACGACGCCATTTGGGGCGGTTCCCGGTGGACTTTTTCAATGAAACTTCTTGAACATCTTACTCATTAAGTCTAGTTTACTCATACCAATTTTCAGATAAAACTTCACCCGAGAAGGCATTCAAATCCAGTATTGCGCATTGATGAAGTATCGTGCTCCGTAATTACAATAAGAAAGTCGCACAACCCGAAGGCCAAGTATTTAAGTTGTGATCTTTATTGAAATAATTAAATATCAATTTGAACCTTCTATAAGTTCGTACAGATAACATATATTAGCATGTAATAGAAGTATAATATATATGTAATTTATATATAATATATAATTACACAGCAGTTACATTAATCTTTTGTCCAAAATCACAGTGATCAGCAATGCCACAAATGTAGTAGCTCGTCCCGCTAGTTAATCTGACATGATCGTGTCCTGAACTTAGCGTCTTCCCAACCGGTTTGCATGAATCGTAGTTTTCCTTGCTCACTATTACCACAGTGTGTTCTGCTGGATCATATTTAAACACTGTTTCACATGTATTAGTGACTTGTCATTACACTAAACTAAACATAATATATATTAGGACATGAATATTATAACTTGGAGTGGTTCCGGATCAAACCAAACCTGATAAGACTTGGCTCAGACTAAATCAGACTAAATCAAACTTACACAATAGTAAAATACCATACAATATTTCCCACATAGAAAGAATCAAGCCCAAATATATGTATATATATATAAAGAAATGCATGTAAATATAAATTTAAATGTCACACCAAGAATATCGCCGGCTTTAAAAGTTTTTCCATTTGGCCAGCCACCCATATCATAAGTCCATCCGGCAGAATCACCAACGGGAATGGTGTGTGCATTAGCCAAAGCACACAATAACAACACTTCTGCTACAGCTAAAACAACGAACATTTTGTGTGATGACATCTTTAAATCCAAAAGAAATAAATGAAGACAAGAAGCAATTCAAGGATAGATGATATAGTGTTTTTTCTCTTTCGATAAATCTTTTTGTGAAACTATCCATCTCTTTTATAAGGCGGAATGTCCTCGATAATACACAAGATAGAGACAAGCATTGAATAGGAAAAAAACTTATAAGGAAACTGATTAAAATGAGTAGTTCAATGGACACGCCCAATTGGGTACAAAATCATTTTATTGCCTTTAATTAGGAGATTTGTTTTTTGAAAAATACATGCATAACGCAAGAAATCTAAATCCCTCATTCTCATATATATTCACACAATCAAGGCAATTTATTTTTTGAATCTCTGGATGAATTTGTTTTTTTATTGTAGTAGAACTTATCACATGATTTGTGAATATGTATAATCACTCCGTATTTAAAAGTTCACTATTATAGATATGGGCAAATTATTTAAGGATTAAATAATAGGAGTAATTAACAGTGTAGATAAAAAGTTTGAGAGATGGTGGAAAAGTATGAATGATAGGATAAAGAGTAGAAATAGTAAGAGTAAGTGAGTATTTTTAAAGGAATACTTACCCAAAAAAGAAAGTGTAACAAATGTTTAAATACATCGAAGAAAGTGAATGTGTAGCAAACTTTAATATATGGAGAGAGTATATATTAATAATAATTCATACTAATATATACGTAGTAATACATCCGTCCAACTTAAACTACTCGTTAAAAAATGACACAGTTATTTAAACAAGAATTAAATAAAGTAATTCAAATATATTTTCAGAAGTAATTTTGATGAGTATACAACATACAGAGGTCATTATATTGATGATATATTTGATTTTAATTATAAGTGTATTATTTTTTATAGTCCCAAAACTTAACGATCGAACAATCATAACGGTGATAAAGAAGCAGATAGAAAGACATCAAGATTAACAACACCTTTGGTATACCGTGTAAACTGGCCGCTGCTCTCCCTAGAGAAGGAGAGCAGCGGCAAACCCTAATCTCTCTATCTCTGCGCCTCTATTCTCTAAAGCCTCGATCGCTTGGGTTCCCGTAAGTTAGCCTCCTTTTATAGGAAAAGTTGGCTAACTTACGGGTTACAAGGAAGCTAACGGGCTGATACACATTTGTGATCCGTGTTACACGTTTAATTAAAACCTACACAAATACAAAGATATTTAATTAGATTGGACACCATAAAATATTCCCAACAATTTTTAATATTTGGTGATTAATTTGTTATTCAAGAATACTAATTATTTCCTAAAATTAGAATGAGAAACTAATGTTGGGCCGGACTTCCAAAATCGACAAGTGAAAAGCTTAAACTAACTGAGATAGAGAGGTCATGTACCTTGTGATCTTCCAAGAAGGAGGTCACATGTTCGAATCTCGATCATCCTGGTTCAAAAATGTTAGTCTTAACATATAGAATATATACTAGTACTATAATATGTTAGAAAGAGGTCAGAAGTAACTACCTCGGGGCCTGCGGGGTCGGAGTGTTACAAGTTCGGCACTAAAACAAAAAACTCAAATGATAACAAAATTGGAGCTATAACATGGAGAGCATTTACATGCTCTAAAGAAGGCATGACAAATGTGTCTTCGCGGAAGACTAATAAAATTGTCTTTGAAAGAAATAGGGGCGAGACAAGGTGTGGGTGTCATGCTTGCTAAGATGCATGTTTCATGGAATTGAGAAAGAAATGTTTGGATCGTGTCACGATTCGAGAAGACCCATAATCATGATCTTGTTAGCCCGAGTAAGATCCATTTGATTCTTTCTCACCGAGAAGTGTCATCTTCGAAGAGAGCATTGATTAATGAGTGGGGGGATGCAAATATTGAGACACATACTCAAATTCGATTGTTGGAGAATAAAGCTGGAGGTCTATCTACGATGGGGTGCACAAAGACTGATATATATAACTACGGTGCATCTTTGAAATCCAAATTTAATGGGATTGATGTGAAAACAATGATTCATGGATTTCAAACTGAAAAGCAAAGGAATTGTGACTTCTTCTACAAATATGAGATTGATAGTGAAAAAGCTCTTACTTAGATGCTTCTGGGCCGATAGTGATAGTTGGAATGCATACTTGTTTTTTGGTGAAGTGGTTGTACTTGATACAACATTCAATACAAACAAGTACGGCTTCTATCTTGCTCCCATTGTTGGTGTTAATCATCATCGTCAAACTACTGTTTTCGGTTGTGGTTTGCTAAGGGATCAATCGACAGAGTCATTTTGTTGGCTACTATCACAATTCTTAGAAGATTTGGATCCTAGACCCCATCCAAAAGTAATAATAACTAATCGAGATGCTGCTATAGCTCGAGAAGTGGGTGATGTATTTCCAGATGCATCACATCATCATTGTTTATGGCACATGCTCAAAAAGTTCCCATAAAAAATGAATGTCTGTAGCTCATCCTATACTGAACTCCATAAAGATTTAGTTGATATTATTATGAGTTCACAGAGCACAAGTGATTTTGAACAACGGTGGTCTGATAAACTCTTGTTACCAGAGTTAAATGAGAACAGTTAGCTTGCTGATATATATGAAATCCGAGCAAAATGGGTCCCTTGTTTTGTAAAACATATTTTCTGTGCTGGAATGTTAAGTAGTCAACGTGTCGAAAGCACACATGTTTTTTTAAAAAGTATGTTAACAAGAAATGCACTGTGAGCCAATGTGTGACTCGTATTACTCGGTCTATTATGAGACAAAGGCACAGAGAGCTTATTGCTGATCACCGCGACCGTAATGAAGTTTCTCGGATAAGTTCATGTTATTTAATGGAAAGACAAATGACAAATAGATACACAAAGGCAACTTTTTGTAAGTTCTAGACGGAATTAGACAAGTGTGCTCTTTACACTTGCCACATGACATCTAGCTCTGCTGGAACCAAGGCCTATGATGTCAAAAGATATGATCTAAGTTCAAATTCTAGCTCTACAACACATAAACTGGTGTATGACATATCCTTGGATTTCGTTTGTTGTAGCTATAAAAAATTTGAATTTATGGGGATTGTTTGCAGACATATTCTCATTTGGATGAGGCTTGAGCAAGTGTTATTATTGCCTGAACGATACATTCTTCATCGCTGGACAAAAAATGCAAAAATAAACCTTATTTATCAGCATACAACTGGTTCGTTTGTTGGTAAGAAATTGTGGGCAAGGCGGGTGAAACTAAGTTCGTCTGCGTTTGAGGTTGTTGACGCGGCATCCCTAACCGAAGAACGAAGCAACTATTTTGCAGAAATCTTAAAGGGTGCTATGGATCACCTAGCGCATATGGATGATGGGGGAAGAAATACTAACCAACCATCAATAATGTCCTCTGAACCACAACAAGTTGTTGTGAAAGATCCAAAGTCCGCAAAAATTAGAGGTTCAGGTTCACGTCTTAAGCATCAATCTGAAAAAGCTAGACGTTGTAGAAAATGCAAGAAGGTTGGACATATAATGCAAGATCATGTCAAGTTTCTCAGCTAGAGAGGTGAAAATTTGCCTTCTTGTTTCATATTTAATATTTTACATTTAACTAAGTAATTTATTTATTACTTTAAATTCCTCAAAATAGTTGAAAATATTTAATGTATTTGTAACACATGTGATTAATCTGGCAGGTCTCAAAATTGTAATAAGCAGTTTGATCTCAATCTCCCGGATTTAGAATGTTGAGGAATAGCAAAGAAACAATTCTGCTAGAAGATCCTGAAGCTTGAGATGTATTCAGATGCTAGATTGTTGCTTTATTTATTGTTTCATGATCATAACATACGAAACACAATAAGTTAAATCATCATTGAGTTGTTCTTTCATATGCAGTATTGTTGTTTATGGATTAGATATCATTGATAATTTTGATGTTAATGTGATAAGCAGTGATATAGATTGTCTTTCATAAAAAGTTAACATTGGGTTTAGGGAAATCATCTAAATAATCTATGACTGTGGTGCCGTGCTCACACCAATTCTGAACTTGAAATTGCATGTAGCAGATAAGACAGTGTTGAGACAACGCAAAAGTGGCATGGGATGACAGAAAACAACTGAATTCATATTACAAAAAAGAAAGAAAGAGAAAACTACCTGCTTGAGCTTTTCAAGCAGCGATTGGCTTTCTTTTTCTTCTTCTCAGAATCATGCAAGTATGAATGAAAAACCAATGAGGATGTAAAAACAGCTCACATGCTATGTGAAGACTTCATTATCACTCCTTCCGAGGAAAAAAGGGGATGTTGATAAATAAAATTCCACCAACTATATTAGCTTTAAAAAATAATGCTTCACTGAAGTATCAGATTTCACTCCTTCATTCATGAACTCTTCAGCCTCCTTGAATATAGAATATATGAACCAAAAACATATTAACACAATACTCTATGATCTGTGAAATAGTTTTCTTGAGAATAGAGATTCTAAAAAATATCTCAACTTGTGAATTTCATTGAAATTCACTACTTGAGGGGATAAGGTGATGCCTTGGGAGTTTCTATGGCTCCACTAGAAAAATCAAGAGTGTTCAAAAGATCTTGAAATGAGAAATGAGGTCCATAAGGTAGGTTAGTATAAGGGAAAGAAGAGCAAGTCATTGGATTAAATTGATACGGGGACTGGAACTCGGGTATGATTGGTGTAAACGGGTTTGGTGCTTGACTTGTGTAATTACCATGGGTGAGATTTTGGGAGCTTGGGAATGGATTAGACTTGGGTTCCATGTCTTCCGCTATTTGTCTGCACATCATCAAAGGAAATAAAGAAAAAGAACACAATTTTGCTACTTTAAGTACAATCTCATCAGAAGCTCAAAACGCACTTATAGTACATTATTGCCTCACTACCTATGAAGGAGAGTATTAGGATTTGGCCTTGTTGTCTTACAAAATCAATCAAAAATATTCATCATGGAAAATATTTTGCATCTCTTTGAGAAAGTTCAGAATCTTTCTATGTAATTAAGGAAAAAAGGTTTACTTTAATTTTATTACCTTTTAATGTAGAGTTTTCTACTGCTACTGGGGTGTCCTTTCACAAGGTTGGGATTGGCAGGGAACTCAGTGACATGTCATCGGTTCACAAGGTTAAGTGTTTTTCATTTTCCATAACTTTAAATTCCAGATTTCAATTAAACTTTCATTTGATGTTATAAATGGCAAACCTTAAATACTTCGTTTCCAATACCACTATGATAGAGATGTGTAAACTAGATCTTCCTGGTTCAACAAATACTAGAAATTAAAGAAGGAAATAAAGAACATATATGAAATCGGGAACAAAGTATAGAGGATTAACCCTATATTAGTATATAAAAAACTTAATTATTAAAAAATTACATACCCTAGCAGGAGAGCAGTTGCTGCGGCGACTTGGAGATGGTGAACTTGAAATAAGAATTCGTGGGGATGTGGAAAACTGATAGCATATATATGAAAGCAATTTTCGCATAGTTTCCCTCCAGCAATTTTTGTTTCCCTCTATTTTTTGGAAGACGTGCGAGCCTTTTTTTTCCTGAGTCACCAAGTCTCGTAGCTCGTCTATACATGAACGTCCGCCTTCACGGTGTTGAGTTTTTTTGACACGTCAGCGGGCTGTGCTTGGAGACTACCTGCATTGGAAGGATATTTCATTGTACAATGTCTAAATTGATGACATGGTGAATTTTATCTACACTAGACATACCACCGCTGCAGATGCTCTAAATAACACCTTAACAATGTCCCAATGAAGTCATCTTTATAAAAGTACACATTCATCAATTGTCTTACATGTAATTTTACGTTATGTACAGAACATCTTAGAGCTTTGATAAGCACTAGTTGTTAGTGCCTAAGTATACATTTTTATTATTGTTTGTAATGTTTATTTACTAGTTTTGTGCAAGTTGATGTTGTTAGTTTGCATTTGATTGTAATCGTATTTCTAGCATTTTATTGTTTGTTGTAAGTTGTAGTTAGTTTGGCTATAAGTTTAGGATAGGTTTGGAAGCAAAAAGGATGAAGAAACCTGAGTTTTGTGCAAAACCCGGTCGGGTATGGACTTTACCCGGATGGGTATGAAGTGACAAAGGAAACTGCTGCAAAACTAGCAAATACCCGGTCAGGTATTCCATATACCTGGTCGGGTATGAAGTGGTTTCGGACCAAAGAACGTGCAGAAGACACAAAAACATGGGAAAATATTTGATTTGGTAAATACCCGGTCGGGTATGTCAAAATACCCGGTCGGGTATCCGGCATTAGGTGTTGAAAACACCTATAAATAACCCCATTTCCTTCACTTTTCATCATCCAATTCCTTTGTACATCTAAGCTCAGTATAGAATAGTTCTTTCTTTATATTTTTCATCATGTTTAGTCTCCAAATGAGGAGCTAAACTCTCCCATCTTGGTTTTGCTACTTTGAAGCTTAATGAATTTGTAAGTTGTGAGTTATTTTCTTTAATCCTCTTCCTTGAATATTAATTCTTCCTTTAAAATACTATTTCTATATCAAAGTTGGGGAGTGTTACTAAGATGACAATTAGTTAACATCTTGACATTGGTTATAGTAAATAGCTATTTCTTCCTCTATGTTAATATTGGGGAGTGTTACTAAGATGACAATTAGTTAACATCTTGATATTAATCATAGTAGGATTCATGTTCTTTAATATTCTTCCTTGAGTATTAATTAATTCCTATTCATATTTCATGTTAATATTGTAAACATTACTTAAAGTATCAACTAGTATTGTTTCTCATATTAATTATTACTAGAATCGATCGGTTAATACGCTTGTTATTAATCCGGTTCTTTCAACGGTAGTAAACTTGGAATATTAATGCATGCATCTCATGGTTAATATGCCAAGAGGAATTAATTATATTGATTAAACCAATAAACCGCTTGTGTTGAGGTTATCAATCTCAATCGTTTTCATCTTAAGTTTCTTGCTACTATCAAGTTAATATACGGCGCTTGTTCTATATTGAATCGATAGTAAGTTTTATTAATGAACGCATCTCGTTATTAATAACTACCCTCGATGAACTGGATATACTCCTCGATTGAGTATTCGAGAGGAAGATAGTTAAAGATATAACCGGGATCGACGAACATTTCATTAAGTGGATAAAAGCAAAACCAAGCCACCACATCTATTAATTAAACTCATATAGGTTGTTCATCTTAGTGTTTTTAAATCAAACAAATCTGAACCCCCCTTGATACTACTTTTATAAAAGAAAAGTATTCCTTTCCCTGTGGATACGAACCTTACTTCACTATACTACGTATTAGTGTTGTATTGATAAATTATTTTGAGTGCACCTCACGACAAGTGCATGTCAAATTTGGCGCCGTTGCCGGGGAAAGGCAATTATTTTCTTTTATTTTAAATATAAAAAAATTAAAAAAATTCATATAAAAAAAAAAATTACTTTTCTGTTTTCTGAGCTTGCATGAGTAAATGGATACCAACACATTATCGCTAGAGAGTCAAATTTGTAGCTTAACTTTTTTAGTAAAGGAGTTTCTCTTATGCTCAAAAGTTCAAGATTCCAAGGCCTGCAACATTTGCATGTCACAAAGGCATCTTACGGATTTTTGCCCAAAGCTTCATGAAGATTACTTTGAACAAAGTAATGATGTTGGTTTCCAAGAGAGGTATGATTCATTCTCCAACACATATAACCCATACTCAAGTTCTTATTCCAACATGTCCACTGAAGACATGATTCGAGCTCTCACTATCAATGTGACAAAAATGCAACAAGATATGTCACAATACCCGCAAGAAACAGTGCTCAAAGAACTGAACTTGGAGAATCAAATAAAACAAATGTCAAGCGTTGTGAACTACATCCGCGAGGAGGAGGAAGAAGAGGAGCCTGCAGAAAAAGCTCAACCGGAGGAGGAAGAACCTCAAAACTCAACTCCATCACCGACCATTCTTGAGATCATGCCATCATTTTCTGAGGCTCTAAGGGAAACACAAAGGGTAGAGAAGGACAAAGACGAAATCCTCAGCGAATCTGAGGGTAATTCAAATGTACTTGTCGCGGTTGCGAATAAACCGAGAGAGTATCATTTAGATTTCTTTTCATTCACAAGTATGCGAGAAATGACAGTGGAGTTAAGTAAACATTTGATACCCCCTCTTATGCCACCAAGATCAAAACCCTTTCCATTGACCATGTTAATCGGTACAAAATTTCCCTCACTCTCACAACATAAAGCAATGGGAATCTGGATATTTGATCCTGGAAAGATTGTCAAAATGGGTGGTCGACGAATTGAGCTCTTCTATAAGAGTCACCGGGGTAGAAATGTGCAGAGGATGGGTCATCATGAACCGAACATGAAAGATTGAAGTAGAGAAAATAACGGCGTGCCGCGACGTTAACTAAAGCGCTTCTTGGGAGGCAACCCATGCAAGGTACGTTTATATCTTCATTTTTTTTTCCTCTTTGAACTTTAAAAAAAAAGTTTTTGAAGTAAAATTGGGAACAAACCCGGCCGGGTATATACCACACCCGGTCGGGTAACAAAACAATGAAGGAATACCCGGGCAACACCTCAGGCGGGTGAAATTTTTATAAAACCAAAAAAGAGCTAAAACCTGATCGGGTATACCTGAAACCCGGCCGGGTTTTCACTTATTTATGCCCCTGTGAGTCTCTGGAAGTAATACCCATTCGAGTTTTTACATTAAAACCGGCCGGGTGACCAAAAAATGAAAAAAATATATAAAATGGCCTAATACCCGACCGGGTATCACGAAAACCCGGCCGGGTTTTTGGTCAAAACAGCCACTGCCAAGCGAAAAAGAGCATACCCATTCGGGTATTACTAAAACCCGGCCGGGTAATCGGGATTTTAGTCCGATTTGGTCCCAAATCAGCCCACAAAACACTCATTCTCTTCCCTAATCTCCCAAACTCAAAACCTCAACCTCCATTGACAATCACCCAAACTTCAAACCACTCCAATCTCAACCAAAACATCCAAATTAACCCCACATTCTTCTTATCCACATCATCCTCTCCAACCCCAAAACCTCCAAAACAAAATGTCATTTCTTTTTCTCCTCACCCTACTTTCCAAACCCACACACACAAAACCCACCAAAGTTCCCAAATACCCTACAAACCGAATTCCTTAACCCCCCAAGCTCAACTTTGGAATTCACTAAAAAAACGAAAAAAGCATCAAAAAGAACACATATCTTCGACCACCAAGGGTACTTCTCCAACATGCCCACCTAGTACAACAACCGACGTGGTATTATCCCTCATATTAGGGCGATTGGGAGTTTCTAGCTCCGGTGAACATAGTCTTGGTGGCGATGGTGGTTATAGAGGGTACGACGACGATCATGGTGCCGAACACTAGGGACAGTGTTTCAAAAAAAGTGTAGGGGAGGCACTCATTTGGTATGTACTCATTTTTTTTAACATTGTAACTTGCATTTTTTTCTTCAAAAAAAAAACAAAAAAAAAATAATAAAAGAAAAAAAAAATGCTAGTTAGGTTGAAAACCAAAAAAAAATGGGCAATCTAAGCAAAGGTGGCTAAAATGAGTGAGTTGTTAGAAATAAAAAATAAAAAGAGAGGCTAGGATGAAAACCTGAAAAAAGCTCCTAGGCAAAATGAGAGAATGAGAGAAAAATATCTATTTATGCAAGAAGATAATAAAAAAAACAAGAAAATGTTGGATGGTTGTTCTGCTACTCTTGTGGTTTTTGAAAATTTCATGGACATATTTTAATTTACTCGAGACGAAAAAGGTTCAAGTGTGGGGGTGTTTGATAGGCATTATTTGTTAGTGCCTAAGTATACATTTTTATTATTGTTTGTAATGTTTATTTACTAGTTTTGTGCAAGTTTATAATTGTTAGTTTGCATTTGATTGTAATCGTATTTCTAGCATTTTATTGTTTGTTGTAAGTTGTAGTTAGTTTGGCTATAAGTTTAGGATAGGTTTGGAAGCAAAAAGGATGAAGAAACCTGAGTTTTGTGCAAAACCCGGTCGGGTATGGACTTTACCCGGCCGGGTATGAAGTGACAAAAGAAACTGCTGCAAAACTAGCAAATACCCGGTCGGGTATTCCATATACCCGGTCGGGTATGAAGTGATTTCGGACCAAAGAACGTGCAGAAGACACAAAAACATGGGAAAATATTTGATTTGGTAAATACCCGGTCGGGTATGTCAAAATACCCGGCCGGGTATCCGGCATTAGGTGTTGAAAACACCTATAAATAACCTCATTTCCTTCACTTTTCATCATCCAATTCCTTTGTACATCTAAGCTCAGTATAGAATAGTTCTTTCTTTATATTTTTCATCATGTTTAGTCTCCAAATGAGGAGCTAAACTCTCCCATCTTGGTTTTGCTACTTTGAAGCTTAATGAATTTGTAAGTTGTGAGTTATTTTCTTTAATCCTCTTCCTTGAATATTAATTCTTCCTTTACAATACTATTTCTATATCAAAGTTGGGGAGTGTTACTAAGATGACAATTAGTTAACATCTTGGCATTGGTTATAGTAAATAGCTATTTCTTCCTCTATGTTAATATTGGGGAGTGTTACTAAGATGACAATTAGTTAACATCTTGATATT